GATACCTAAGGGTTCGGGTTCGAATCCAGAAGAAGGCATGGATGTAAATTGTGTTTCTCCTCATAGGAGATAACGGTGGCCGCGTATTAGGAGCCTCCATAATAAAATGACCACCACTTCTGGCCTTAGTAATGGCGAAAGCCTAAAAATGGCTAGTGCCGGCCATAAAAATAAATAACATAAAAAACAGTTTAAAGATATAAGTTCAGGGAATTAACATTTGATTGAGTCGATTTTTACGATACCACTGCTCATTCGATTCTTTTTGTTCTTCGTTCCCGCCTCGTGGTAAGATATGACGTAGGATTTCCATTTTCGTAATATCATTTCTTCTCTGCATTTTATGCTTTGCGATGTCATTAGGGATACATTTATACCGGTGATCGGATTCGCTGTCTATCATGGTTATCCGATAGTATTTCCGATAACTTTCTGAATTCGCCTCTACAGCCGCTGCGATCGGTCTCATATGATGAAGCATAATTATGTTACTGTAGTTGATACAACTTCCAAAACACTAGCTTTCTACGTTCAAATGTTATTTCGATATTTAAGGGAATTACAGTACACCTGTATATAAAATGCCTAAAGGATACCCTGATTGCTAGTATTTATTGGTATATTGCTAATTAGTGTTAGTTTACTTATGTAATTCATATGAGTAATTGAGAGCGGAGAATATTTTTCTCTCAAAATTATAAATTCTGTAACTTTAAAAATTGCTTTAATTAAATTAACTTTAAATCTTTATAGAGAAATGGAAGACTGAAAGTCTAATAAGTTTATTTATTGGTTTATATGATCATAAATATCAACATAGAAATGAAACCAACTCTGTCTGGACCCATTTCAGTTTTTCACAATGAGCCTTATCGCTTGGAAAACATTACTGGAATCCTGAGTAGGAACAGGGAGCTTACTTAAGCTATGTTCGTGTGTGCGTGGAATAACCAACAAGTAAAAAGGGTTAACTTTACCCTTTATTTCTCGCAGCGTACAGGCGCTCCCGCACTCCGGGATTCAGAGACCAACACTTTTGGTCTAAAACGTAAAAAATAAGAAATATCCAAATAACTAAATCAGCAGGAACTAAGTTCTGACCTTAAAGGCAGATATGATGTGACTGAAAAACACGCGCGTAGCAGGAAGGCTCTTCTATCTCTTGGCTAGAAGCCACTTCTTAAATACCTTTTACAGTTTGCAAACTCATTAGCATAAAACGTCCTACTTGCGTTTATTCTGGCCGGAAATTGAAAATCAGAGAGGATAGCAGAGTTTAAAATAAAATAAACGTTAGTAAAAACTTAAAATCCTTATAATGTGTTGTGGGGATTTATTTAAGTTACTAAACAATTCATTTTATTTTGAAGCAACTTTCTTAGCAATCTCGCTTTCAACCGACGCTTCCTTGCCAAAATGTAAATGAGTTAGCGCGCGTGTATTCAAATGAGATAGAAAGAGATTAGTATTTAAGGGAAAGTTTTGGAAGGTGATTTTAAAGCTTGTGCCCACTTGAAAATCACGTTGTTATCTTTGATTTACTAGCGATTAGATTTGCGTGGCGTTGAGCGCTTCTAACCATTAGGCTTGTTTAGTCCGACTTATACCAGTCAGAGCCTACCTGCAATTTAAAAGTAACCTGTGAAAAGCCGTTAGGCTAACTAAATTGTATTCTATTTTAAGTTACTCGTTACCTTTTGAGTTAAGCCCAAATTGTTGGCTTTTGTAAGCACGGATCGGTGCCATCTGTAAATAAAAGAGTTAATAAAGGGCTCTTTACACCCTTTCTCTGGACTTTCTCATACTTCAGATTTAAGGAAAATTCCTTACACAATCTGTCAACGTCTAGTTAGTTTATGCTACCAAAGAACACCAAACGTTACAATGTGCTATTAAAATTCGTAGCTTTCGTCCAGTTTCAAAGGGATTAAGAAAACAAAATTACTCATTTTAATTCACAGTAGAAACCATCAGCAAAAGGTTAGGTTTCGAATTTGTACCATAATTATAAAAAGTAGTTTACTTTTACAAAGATACTGTAAGGAATCAGTTGTCAAACAAAGCAATTTAAGTAAAACCCACTAATAAGTGGCCTTTCTCTTACGTCAAAATACGATTTAATAAGAAATTATATGAAACTAAATAAACATTACTATATTCATATACTATTAATAAACTAATATTCTATTTATACAATCTTGTCGTGTCTTATCAATTATTTAGGAGATTTCTGGTGCCTGAAGCTTTCCTGAAAATATCTTAACGGAATTCAATTGAACTTCTGATTGCTCATCTTCCTATTACCTGACATTTTATTTTAGCAAACATACCGCGAAACCTGTATCGCATATTTCGTTGAATATATATCGCCTACATTGTTTCCCTCTCAACAAGTGAATCAGTTCTGAGATTTAGAAACCATAATATCCCAAAACGAAGACCACATTGATCCATTTTAACAAACCTCTTCTTCATCAGTCTTTTCTGTTAATTTTACGTCTTTATTCCTACTGAATTTAGTGCAGTTCATCATACTAATTTTAATATGCAGAAATTATGTCTATCTTTTATTGGTCTGTGCCATAACCTGTAATTATTTTTTCAGTACCTTTGTTTTAATAACCGAGTTTTGGTAGTTTTGGCTGAGTCTGCTAGATCTGGAAGCTCTATCTTAATAACCGTGTTTTATTTTAATATCTTAAAAACCAAGGTGTGGTCCTACACTACCGATTATACGGCCACTTTTTCCAACGTTCCTTCGGATAATACGGACTTTTCGGTTCTTAACGTGCACACTACTTTTAATAATCCTAGCATAAATGTTCCATGTAAAACATTTAACCAGATTTACATATATTTTAATTATTATCATTAAAATAGGAAATAAAAATGAAGTTTATTTGCAGATCTAACGCTGTTCCAGATTGTAAAAGATTTTATTTTTGAGGTAATACCTCATGTTTTTTATCTCTTGTGCGTGATAACGAAATCAAATCCTCAATATTTATCCATCTGTTCTGTTGCAAGTCTACTGCTTGTTCTTGTCCAAGCAGAGTACCAATACAGCCGATGACACCGATGCTCGTTTAAAGCAGCAATGTATAATCGAGTCTCTGAACTGAGATTGCATTTTACCTACTGAAATCCATCGGCGCTTGAGGAACATTAATAGTGAACAGGTAGTCGGTGACAGCGCTCTGAGGCGCTACAAATGTCACAGTTGCACCTCATTGAATGATGAACGAGAATTAAGAGAGAATGAATAAGTTAATTCCCCAGACCGGCGCATCGCGGCTTGACAATAATGCTCTCTTGTGGTGGATAAATTGGAAACAATTATCACAAATCGGTAAAATCTCAATTATCACAAATCGGTAATCTTGCGGATTTTCTAAAATGAGTCTTTAATAATCAAAGAAGAAATGTTGAAGTCACTTAACTGGATGAGTTCAGCCAATAAAAATATCCATGTTCTCCTTCATGACGCCAACGCAAGGCTGACAAGAAAGCGCTGTGAAAAATTTATTTAGATCTTATTCTATACCCGATTAAACTTTAATCTCCTCGCGTCTAGTTTTCGTCTGATGAAAAATGGATTTTGAGGAAAGAGGACCTCCAAGAACTATATTGTTCTTAACGATTTCAAAACTCTCAGTAAAATTAATAATAATTTTTATACGAAAGAGATACAAAAGACTATTTTGCATGTTGTTAGAGGTGCATACGCCTCAGTTTATAAAAATTAACTGACAAATAAAATGTGTACAAAATCGCATATGAATTTCATTCCTTTATATGAGCTACTATCCGAAATATTAAAAACAAGAAGCAAACCGTGCTTAATAGTTGTAAATATTCCTCTGGGAATTTCTCAATGCATATAAAAATCTTTCGTTTAAAAAAATTTTTTTTCAATGCATGTAATGTCATCTAACAACATTATGAACAGTATATTTTGTGTGCCGTTCGTTCTTTGATGTGGTTCATTTGAATTTTAAAAATATAAATGTTTCTAAATTTTGCTTATAATTGTGAATTAGTTTATATAATGTATACCATCATATTCCCATAAATACAAATAAATAAAAGCTGTTGAGCATCACCAAAAATTTTTGTTGATTATTACATTCTATATAAAATAAAAATCACGAAAATCGTAGCTTCCACACGAAAATCATAATAGTATATTAATTAATTTTTTTCGATATATTTTTGACAAAATATTTTATTTCTGAATAACTGATTTTTTTTTATTTTTTCGTGTAATAAATTCAACAATTTTCCAATAAATTTAATTTTTATACAGAGAATTAGGCATTTACTAAGAAAAATGGAATTAAAGCTTTTCTACCTTCCTTTACTTAGGTAACAAAAAGATTTTAAATCTTGCAACATGAAATGAAGCATAGTGACATCAAACCCTATGATATAGAGTATGACAGTAGAGAATATTTTGTTTAAAATTTACGTTTGTTCATCAAAAGACGAATATTGTTGGTGTACTTGCTGGAAAATGAAATTCTATGATTTTCGGTAGGTCTGTTGCTAAAATCTGACTTCCATTTCAAGCCCTATATCGTGTTACTATTTTAGTTAGATTAATGAGCTCTTGATCAGTGCACACTGAAAGTGTGCTTTCGTCATTTGGACTTATTTCTTCCAAGACTGGTTTAAAAGTATGCCAAAGCATAATAAACTGGATGCATTTCGAAAAAGTATAATATGCATACTTTGGGTCTAGAATCTTTCATTCTTTTTATCTTGTCTAAAAACTCTTAGTGTTTCCTTTCCATTCTTCACCTATAAGTAGCTTCTGATGCAAAAAGATTCAAGCTTCGAAAATGATGTTTATTCTTTTAGGAACAAACCGCACTGTAAAGTATTGAACCTTTGTATATTTTTTTTAATTTTGTCTGTCGTAGAAATACTTTTAGTATATATAATATTCTCATTAAAATTAGGTACTTAATTTCTATAAACAACTGATATTATTTTTCTAGACTTACATGAATGTTCTGGTTCTCAATGGATATCACAACTTGGATACTCTGAAAGGCTTGGAAGAACAGGATTTACTCGCCTTGGGAATTGCGAACTCGGATCATCGCTTGAAGCTGCTGAATGCTATCGACCGTCTTGAAGGTACTGTCAGTTAGCTTCGAAGAAAAAAGGTATCGCTGCAATCTATGCTTGCAATTTGCATTCATGAATCCAAAATTTCAGCTCCCGTATGGTAACAATTTAAAAGATGCTTTATGTGAACATTCCTTGCGAAGAATATGGGTTGATATTCAATTGTAAGAATTAATTTGATTTTAGAAAATTCCTAATGAAATAATGTATCAATCCGTGTATAAAAATAATTTAGAAATAATTTCATAGTATGGTCAATAAAAACTATGTCTTTTATTTAAAATATATTTTCAAAGAGTACTTTTAAAAAAATGTGTTCAGAAAAATTAAAGAACATTCAAATTATTTTTACATTCCTGCGTCTCGCGGCTTCATTCATTATGAATTTCTTCCTGTTTATTTAACCTTAAACGCTCTTTCTTTTCTTATTTATTGGCCTTTTTTTATTTATTACTTGATTTTTCTTTCTTATTTCTTGATTTTGTCTTTCTTTGGCTCCATTGTTGCAATTTGAGTTTTCCCTTTCTTTGATTCTGCTAAAATATTCTTTCGACCTAATTACTTTGTATTAATAGCTCCATCGTTTTTTATTTTGACTCAAGATTTCTTTTTTTAATTTAATTTTATTTTATTCAACAAAATTAAGTGAAACGAAATACTGATGCTTTATTTATACTTCAGTTTTATGTAAAAGACATGAAAGAATTCTGAGCGGATGAACGCTACTCGCTTTAATGAGAGTATCATTCTTTTGAAGGAAGAAAATCTGCAGCAGATAGGCATCCAACTCTTTAGTTTTCTCTGTTTCGTTAACTTAGTTAGTCTAATAATTGTACAAGAATTTCTGTCAGAAATAAACTGTCCATTGTTCCGATAATCTGAAATGGCATTTTAAAGTTTCATCAAATATTACAAGATTAATATTTTGCCCAGTTAGTGTAAATTCTTTTTAACCTAGATGGATATCCTGAAATATTTGCCTCATCGAATAATTCCAGGTATTTTATCATGATCTTTCAAAGATATCACCTTACATTCAACTTTTGTCATGTTCAAATCATTAACTAGGAATAAGTCTTTGCTGCATTCTTTTGTTTTCATTATAAAGCTCCAAGCTGATTAGAACATGTTATTAACTGATCAGATTGGTATGCAAAGTTTGTAAGGATCTTAAGTTTTACTAACGTTTATTTTATTTTAAATCTTTACTATCACTTCTTATTTTCTACTTCCGGCCACAATTAAAAGCTTTAACTTATTTATGCAAATTTGTCTTGCGAACGCCAAGTACTTAAGTTGTGGCTTTTTGCCACGCAAGAGAGAAGAAGGAGCTATTAGAAGCAGGCCGCTTGCCATAGTAGTTTTACTCGGTTGCTGGTTGCCTCCAAGGCCAGAGGTTTAATCCTCTTGATAATTTTAAACGTATCGTAGTGTTAGCAGTTCTCTGTACTACATACAGCTTTTTGCTAATATACGGCCAATCTTGAAGTAGGCACTTGTTTGATTAATCCAAAGTTAAGTTTAGTTAGAGTTTAGTTAATATTTTTATATTCTTACGTTCAGACCACAAGTGGTTGGTCTCTGTATTCCGAAGTCCGAAAATCATTGTAAAAAGAGAAAAATAAAGGGTTTCGTATACCCTTCCGGTGTGTATTGTCTACTTCCCAAATTTATTGAACATAGCTTTAGTAAGCTCCCTGTTCCGAGTCAGGACATTTAATGTTCCCAAAGCAAGTAAACCTGATAAGTTCTTTAAGCATCAGTCACCATACATTGAAACTTACTTTTCATCAAATCAAAGGCAACTCTATTTAGTTCTTCCTTAGCGGAGATTTCTATTTAGCCATCTTTTCAAACTGATGATAAATTATTTTCTTAAGCTGGAGTAAGATCTGTTTTACGATCCAAAGCTTCCTTGTTTTTACCTCTGACTTGCAAAGAAGGAACTTAAGTTCAGCATATGTTTCTTGACCCCACTGCAAATATTCCGGTTTTTGCTTCTACAGCTGCTGTAGTCGCACCTTTTTTCTTGTGTAGTATTATCTTTTCTGCTATTGTTTTTCCCAATTTACTTAAGTCTTAATTTGAAACTAAGCAACTTCTTTGGGTATTTCTCACTGAAGTATCTATACAAGTTAAAATGAGCCAGCAATGTGTTTCTTTTATTACGAAAAATTAGAAACACAATTTCTGGACAGACAGTTTCTGGCCAACTAAAATAAATAGGCTCTAGATCATTACAGTTTACATGAACGGGAGCTAATACAAGATTCTTTAACGATCAAGTTTTAACAACAAAAGTCAATAACACTTATATTCTATAATGCATTTGAATATATTTTTAATTATCTTAGTTTTAAACCTGAAATATTTGCCTTATTTTTAGGTACACAGTTGTCTCATTTCTAGGGAGTTAAAAATATAAAACAATATGTAATTTACCATAACTTTCTCAATGTGGTAGCTTTGAAAGAGCAAGTCTTGGTCAATATTTAACACTCTAATAATAAAATATCAAGATATAATAATTGCTAATGACATTGAAAGATTACAACCAAACTTCAGAATTTTGAACAACGAAACATTTAGTGTTTAATCAAGAAGAACTAACATTGAAGATGAATGCTAATAGCTTTTTATGGTGATATGCAGTTAAACTCTGTAGTAACTGCGATCCAAACGAGTTCTGAGACAATTGATATTTGCTTTCCTTTTATTATTTTCACAAGATTGTTTCAATTTTAGAAAACGTTTTGTCACTTACTTCGACTGACCCTACTTTTTTCATTCCCGAGTTAAAACAATTTTTAACCTTATAGCAAAAAATAATGAATTAACTGTTTGGAAATTTTTTTAAAAAATCTGTTGTCATAGCGAAATAAAACTTGTATATATATTTTATTACTCTCTGTCTTTTTAACAGTTAAAAGTAAACTGAATTTCTGCTTTTTTTATATGGGAAAGGAGGAAAAGAATATTTTAAAAGTAAAATATAGTTTCCTTTTGCCGTCACATAAAAACGCATCGCCCGATTCTATGATCAAAATCGTAACCCATTTAATTATAACAAAAATAACATGCCAAAGAACAAATATTAAAATACCACAGCAAGAAGAATCTACGAAAGTTGCGTAAATTGGCAAAACTGTAACTTTTAATATTTCGAGCAGATGAATATATAAGTCTGTAGTGCCTATATATATTTTATGATATATATATAAAAGTTCCTTTTAACTTATTTTTGCCTCCCAATCTCTTTTATACTCCTCGTTTATTGTTTCATGTTAAATAAAAATTGCATAACGATCCTAAAATCCTTTAATTTTCAGATTTAAATCCAAGTATTGCTGCCTCATATGACACTGCAGAAGGAAATGATTCACCCCTGCATCAACAAAAGATAAACAAAACTCCACCATTTTGCACAAGACTGGATGTTTTCTCTTCTCCAAGAAAACGCAGCGAATCGTGTACAGTGAATTTGCAGGAAACTTACATGCCTCATCTTTCATGCTCACCTAAAGAAACAAATCAAGATAGTTACCACGTGACCGCTTATGATAGCAACGAAATAAATAATCTCGACCACAGTCTGCCTCCCATACCATGCAACGGCATAGAACGAACAGAAGATGATTCCCACAGAGATATCCTAAACATTCCATTAAGCAGAGCTGAAGAAAAGCTTTACTTTTACTCTGACTTACAATCCAATCAGAAAATACAATACTCTTATGGACGTGGAATTAGCGCTTATTCAGAGCAACTGTACTTTTCGAGGGCGGGACTTGTAATAGACACTCCTGAAAGTGATCATTTTCTTTCACAAATGAACTACTTAGAAAAACTGTCCGATTTGTCAATAGGCGGGTCGACGTTTGGTCATTTAAATGGGTCAGTGTATCCCAACAGTGGAGCATACATCACCAAAGAGGAGAAATACCTAATGGAATCTTCTCGAAGGAAGCTAAAAGACAAAATTCGAACATACAGTCAAGACATCACTCAAGGACAAGTCCGTAATGAATCGGATTTTAATGGTTACTTACTAACTGCCGATGATAGCTCAGAATCTTCGATCCAGAATTCTTCTAGCTTTGATTCTCAAAATAATGGAAAGTCACTAACACTACCTCGTAAAAAGAAAGGTTATTTAAATAACGATTTGTTGATTTTTAAGGCATCTGATTCCAGTGGTTATAAATCTGACAGAAAAAATAAAAAATTGCGTCGCAGGAAAGAAAGCACACAAACACTTCTTCATTGCCCTTCCGAACCATTCACTTTAGGAGATTTCATTGCCAAGAAGCTGCAAGAGGAACAAATCGATTTGTGTGCTGAACCCTACACTGATAAGGTATTTTTAGCACATTTTTCTTGATCGTTTCTCCTATTAATTCTTTCGTAATTACTTTACAAATATCATTTTAAGTGATTCGGAGCAGTAAGATTGGTTCTCCATACTTAGTCTTTAGTATTGAATATATCTGTTAAACACAGACTTTAACAGAAAGTAAATAGTTCATATTTTTCATAAATTTCGAAACATAAAATCTATATATATAAATTTAGAGGTTTTTTTCTCGATCTGTTAAAAGTTAATCTATCCAAAAACACCTAATAGACGTGAAGCGAATTATTATGTCTGAAAGTAACTACAAGAACTTAGTTTAAAAGGTTTAAAATAAATATTTTTATTTTAACAGAAATTATAACATAAGTGCACTTTCTTGTGCTAACAATATCAACCACAACTCGTTGCGATGTAACTAAAGTAACAGTTAAATTTCAGTTAAACGTAGAATAGTAGTCAAAGCCTACACAATTAAACTTTAATCTAAGCTGGCTCAGAATTTCTAACCAGCGTCTCAGATTCAAATATCGGCAGCAGTAACGCAAAACCGAATAAATACAACTTATCAGAGCAGTCTGAACTCGTAACATGGCCGCAGAAAGCAGAAGCATGTTCTGTCTTATAATCCAAAAATTTCAGTTTAAATACTGCCCAACTGATTTGCATGTCATTTACATGCAACTGCCCAACTGATTGCATTTTTGGTGAGGAAACGGAAAGAAAAATTATCGTAAAGGCTGACAGTTCAAATAACTGATTAGTTAATTAAGCTTACAAGTCTATTTTTAAAGAAATAATAAGAAGAAAAAGGCAGAATATTTCCTTTTTAAAGAAATAATAATGAGAAAAAGGCAGAATATTTCCTAAGATTATCAGGCACCCTACATATAAACAAAAACTTAAACGTTGATCAGTTTGTTGTTTTAATGATAAAACATTCATTTATTTGCACATCGAGAGATCGTGACTTGTACTAAAGAAGCCGAAAAAGATTTTGCAATGCGTAAAAAGCAAATATGTTTCCCTTATTTAATAGTGAAGTGTAATAATTATTCAACTAATTAACGTACTGAAAAGTAGTTCACTCATAGATTCCACTAAATTTTCTGTTTCTTGTATTCTGGACAGTTGCCTATTGTTTGCCAAAAATGCCAATACAAATGAATTCTTGGCTTCACGTAACATTTTGCATTAGCAAAATTCCAACTTTTTTTTTCACTCGCATTATTATAGTCCATAAAAAATTTGAAACTGAACTCCCTTTTTCTTCAATATTCCTCGCAAATTCCACTGCAAGCTCAACAACATTTTGGCTAAGATTATGAAGTTTATTTAAAATTGTAAGATATAGCCACAGTTCTCCTAAATGCATCTACTGCTTACAAAATTTACAATGATAATATTTATTACTTACATTTCCCAGTTTCTCTTGATCAATGCTTTATCCTTAGTCTCAATTTTTGTTTTTTTTTCTCTTTGATATTAATTTGCAACTTAAAATTTCTCAGTTATACTAGCCATATATTTGGTGATAAATACTCATATGATGTTTAATAGAATCAAATTCTTTTGCCCTGATTCATAAGTAATTCTGTCTCCACACGTGATAGAAATACGACGAGAAGCCCTTACCTTAACTCCTTGTATTACGCTGATTACCGCAGTCTCAAAGAACTTTCTGCTGTATGGCAGAAATACTTTCTGATCAAAGCAGACACTAAAGTACGTATATTTTAATTTCTTAAATGGAGGAAATTAATTTTCAATTAATAACTAAAATGATCGGTTTTTCAAAAATGTAACACTGAATTGTATATATTTTTTTCATATGTTAAAACAATTATGAGAATGAACATTAACAGGTGACGGAGGACGGGGACGCCTGGTGTTTTAACAGAGGTAAACAGGCATATGTCCCACGCCTTCTCTATCTAGTTGCGGCAACTCCCTGGAGCCTCATGAGGCCACCTCAGGAGTTTATTGAATTTTACGTAATTGTGCATGGCCATACAGGGGCGTCTTAATACATTATTTTTGATCGATAGGCGAATGATTTGTTACATCTGCAAATGATATGTTACATTCAAGATGTAATGAACATTAACAGTAAGATCAACACGAACAGGTCACAGTTTCGTAATTTAAAGCAAATTTATGGTTTGTAATAATATAATGCGTGTATTTCTTACGGCTTTGGTTTTAATCTTTAGGTTCGGATCACATGATCGTGCTCTAAATTGCGTTCGATAGCGGTCAAAATTGATACTTTCGTTTAAATATGGTACCCGGAATTTTTCGTGGTTAAAACTGAGCTCACCGAGCCGAGTAACAGAGTGGATATGTATCAGAATGGGTATATATATATATATACCCACTCTGTTACTCGGCTCGGTGTGTACGGGTTCGTTAGGAAATGAATGCACTAGTTCGATGAAAAATGGACAAAATTTATTATTATCACAGCAAATAAAACAATGCTTCAATTTCCTCAGATATTCGTAAAGTATTACAGTATCTTATCTTTTAACTACTCAAACGTTCAACAGAACTTAATTCAAAACAGCCAGAGAAAGCTAATCCGCGAATTCGCTGCAGTCAACAAGAGCAGTTTTCTAAACAATTTCTTAAAACAATAACTCACTAAATTGAGAGGTTTTCCTCCTTTTATAAGCTTTTTAAATCACGCGCGAGCTGGCTCTAGCAATTTCTCGAAATCAAAAAGAGATATCTATTTATTAAATGTTAAATGCTCGCGCTCTTGTATTCTTAATTTTCCGGCTTAGCTTTCTTTTAATATGCGTCACGCGCTGCACTGGACGGGGAATAAAGCAATTTTATTTATAATTCTACTAACATTAACTATTTAAATACCGAATCCGTAACAATATATGTACTTTTGGTGCCACCGATTACAACCAGAAAGGGAGGTGCAGAACTGCATATTATAGCAGTCCTATATACAAAATTTCAATGTTCTGAGGCTACTCGTTTTTGAGTTATGCGAGATACATACGTACGTATAGACGTCATAAAAAAGTCTCTTCTGAATCCATTTTAAATCAGTTTTATAATTCGTTTTGGGAAAAAGAGTTTTTTGTTTTGTCCTTACGTACAGATGTCAAGTAGAGACATCGCTAAATTGGATTCGATAGCTGTCAAGATGCATATTTTCCTTGAAATATCGCACCCAGAAATTTTCGTAGGCGTCCTTTCCAAGTTTTCATCACTTCTCTTCCTTGGCTTTATCTTTGGATGGGATGTACTGTAAGTGCACTGTGTGTGTTAAGTCCGACTCGGGCGGGTGACCCAGCATGATCAGATGACGCATCTCATAGTGTGTGTGATTGAATGATTTCTGCCTCAGGGTTACATTCTCTTCAAGACACAGAGGCCTTACTAGTAAGGATTCTCTCCACTTATAGATCAAGTGGAGGAATGCCCGCCAACATTTTCAATGCCACAATAGGAGATGATCTGTTCCCTTGCATATTGTTATGTGCGTACCGGTTCCTAATAGATTGAATGCATAAATCCGATAAAAAGTTAATCCGATAAATTTTATTCTTATCACAAGAAATATAACAAAACGCTATAATTTTCTTCGGAGTTATTCTTACAAGTGTTCACAATAACAGACACTAAAGATAATGAGTAAACGCAATACAACCGGTAGCTTTACTTTAAACTACTAAAAATGCTAAAATACAACGCAGTTCAATGAGAAAGCTAATTCAGATATCTCCGTTCGAGCGGAACTAAAACAAATCGCGATAACAGTAACTAGCAACTGAGCTGAGATGTCTCTCTCCGGTTTATTATAGCTTTTAATCGGTCGCGAGAAATTTCTGGTAATTTCTTTGCTTCTCGAGATTTCTGGAAAGCAAAAGAGTAGAATTACGGTTACAGCTAACATAGTAGTCAATTAAATTTATTCAAATTAAATATTAATTATCGAGATAAACATTTATTCAACGTTAAATGCACGTGCTCCAGGTTTTTTTTCCGGCATAGCTTTTTCTTAAAACTCGTCTCGGGCTTTATTGCATGGAGAAATACTTTTAATTATAATTCTACTAGCATTAGCTATCTAAATACGAAATTCGTAACCAATATGATCAATAACTGTATTCTCTTATAATTAATGCAAAATATCACAAAATAAGTATAAGACAAGAAATAATTCATTACAATTAGGATACATGTTTATTTTTGAAGTATATTACTTCTACTTCTAGATAGTTAAAGAAGACGTCGATGAACATATATAATTAATGCACAAGTAATCTCGTATTAATCCAATGGGAGATTCCTGCGGAGTTGCACTAGAGTGATGTATACACTAATTATCACTATGAGAACAATAATTTAGGCATTCTAACATCACCGTATGAATCTGCACTTTTTCATACTTTCAGTTCGTATAAAAAACTTGATGTTATTATGAAGGACTGCACAGATTCACAATGAGGAAAAACTGTTTTCTATTAAAAATAGCAAAATTCAATTCTTTATTATTGTAAATTAACATTAATTTTTTTTAGTTTAATTTACACTTATAACAATTAGGCTTTGATTTTGCTGAAAATAAGTATAATATTTTTTTTAGTTAAGAAAGAGAGACAGAAATATCCCACACCTATAATGATTCGAGTTGAAAAAAAAAATAAATGAAACAAGGTTTCAGAATAATGATCTGATAATGAAGTTCAGATTACCAGAATAAAATCATTATCCAGCAATGAAATCGCCAAATTTAACTTGCACCCAATATTTCTGTTTATCCAATAACAATAAATGAAACTTACCTTCAGTCCTCGACTTTGTAGAATATATCTGTCTCCGGATCATAGAAGTGTTTTCTTCTTTCAAATGCTAATGCTTAAATGTTTCGATCTTGAGGCAATCGAACGCTTTGCACCAGTCGGAAATCATAAATGATTTCGGGCAGAATATTGTCTTTAATTATTTATAACAATGACTCGGCGCCACTCCTTTTCAACCCCTCTAAACATAAACTTATCCTTCCCTTTCTCAAGCTGAACAAACACTCATTCTTTTTAACTTTCTCTCTCTCTCTTTGATACTTTTATTTACCAGATTTCCTTTTATCAGTTTCCCCAATCCTACCCTCCTCCCCCCATCCAACATCACACTCTCTTTCAAACATAACTATGTAACACACTTCAAACACACACACTCTACTCACTTTTTCAAGCATAACTCTTCTAGTTTTCCCCGCACTTACCCTATCACATATGCCTAACTCGCAAAATTCCACATATGCTCAATTTACTCTTTGCAAACCCTGAATCCTTTCGGAAAGCTTTTAATTCGACGTTTATATTCCCCATGTGTCGCTCTACAAGTCCACTTAAAATCATATACACAATTTTTTTGTTCTACGAATTTAATATTCATTTCACAAATCGGAAAGTTAATATAACCTGAAAACCAATATTTTCTCCATACACCACCCAATCACACATTTTTTACTCTTTTGCTCCCACTGATACAAAAATCCAAGTTCAAATTTTCATTTGTACTGCAGAAAGCACAGACATCAAAGATACCGCTTTCATTCAATATTTCCAATAGTCTGAAAAATCTTAATAACGTACTTTTGAGCGCTTACTCGCTGTGTGAAATGCTAAGAATAGCACCCAGCACGCAGAAAAGTATATTTATAATAAAAATATCTTGCGCAATAACATTTTAAACCTCGCCTTTCAACTCGATTGAAATGTAACTTAAATTTCTTTCAAATATGAAGCTATATATTTTAGACAATAACCATATTATCCAAATATTAACCATATTAAATCAGTCCAAGCATAACCGTAACTTGCTTTTAGAAACAGGCGTAGCCAATATTACATCAAAAAAGGTGTATCCGAGCCTAAGACAAATAAACAACGTCTACAATTTGTAGAGCGTCTTCTAGGCTTTAAAGCCAATTCTTTAAATAAATCTTCATTGTTAAATTTATAGTACAATTAACAGTTTTTTAAAATAATCCACACAGTGGAAACGTCACTTGCAGTTATTTATAAAAATATATTCCATTTTCCTTTCAAAAATTTCTTGTTACAAAGATAAATAAAGATATATTTCATCAGCTCAGAATTCGTTAAACAAAAAAATAAAATTTGGTTATTTTAAGATCAGAATGTAAATAGTGATGTATAAGTATAAATGCAAATGATTTTAATATTGTTTTACTACATTTGCACTCTCATGGCCAAAGCCGCAAATTTCTTCCAGAATTTAAAAAAAATATATGCTAGAAGGCGTGTTTTATCTGATAGTATTACTATATTTAAGATTGCCATAATATGATGCTGGCCATTAAAGTTATTATACCGTGAAGAAAGCGTACAACAAATCTGACATTTACATGTTGGATACGCAAATGTTTAACTTTCACAGCATTTGTATATTATACGCAAGAATAATGTTACCCCAAAGCTGTATTAAAAAGTCAAATTGAAATGCGGATTTTTCATTCGGAAATTGCGATTGCTTGTTTCTTGTGTTGGAAGTCGTGTTATGCCTCTTGTAAGAAGAAGGAACTCATGCCAGCACGAATTCCTCCGAGCAATATAGCCTACTGGGACCATGTATTATTACACCGAGCTTCTTTTTGTGTTCATCAAGATCCAGTGACTATCATAAGAATTTGCAGTCAAACGGTCCATGAAAATCTCATACAGCGAAGTGTAAGATCTCAACGACCTGCTCCCTTCTTTCCAATACCTAGATGGAAAAAATCTTGTTCGCATCTCAGTTAGATTTCTTTTAGCCACATTGCATACATTAAGTCAAGAAACTGCGTATGTTGCACAGCAACAAGCATCCCGCATGTGTGTGCCGACGACGTCTCTTTAACACCAGAGATTGTTAGTAAAGTGACCTCTGATACGGTTTCCCTTGACGCTACAATACAAGATCAGCCCTCATGTATTTTCAACGACGCACTAGTGGCTTAATGTCTAGGCGACAAGGGGAACGAAATTTGGATGCATTCCTGCCGTTTATCATCGTCATGTTGGCCCAGTACCCGAAGTGATAGTTGGAAGTACCACTGGATCCTCAATCGATTCACTTTTAGCCAATATGTCCAGTATTTTGACCTACTACCGTCACATTACAGAGGTTTTAATGCCCGTAGCTGTACCGTATCTTCCGGGCCTCTCTCATTCAGTATTACAAAATAATATGAAACCGTATATTGCCGTGGCTTTAGGTATGGCACGATATTGACCACGCTGTCATACGCTTATTCAACACACAGGGTGTCTGTTCCTGCTTTGGCCAGAGCGTTCTCTAGATCTTTTACCAACTGAAAACGTCTGGTTAATAGTAGCAGAAAAACTAGCATGGCAACATTCGAAGCTAGTGCGACTGAAGCCGCATAAACTACAATAGACAAAGTATTAAACTCCCTTTACCTCTTGTATAACAGGCTACTAGTCTTGCCAGAGGCGGATGCTAAGGAAACTGATTTCTGTACGTTTTTGTATTTCAAAGTCCCTTGAAATTTTAATCATTCTATTTTTCTGCTGTAGTATATTTGAAAAATAGATATGAATATGCTGATTGATTTCTTTCGAAGCGTAATCGTTTATTTCAGAGAAGATTATGCTTATCGCGAAAATTTTGAAATTATAAACGTCAATCATCTATATATTATTATCCAATTATCTATATAGTCGTAACACATATAAACATCCAGTTATCTATATATTATCAGCCAGCTAATAATGATCATCATTTACAAGCTTTCCATTTTTAAGTTTTTACAGTTATTAATTTTCCAAAAGTTCTGATCGGTATAAATTTAATACCATATTTATTTATATATATTTGTTTCCTTTAAAGTTTCAGAAATTACGAATTTTGACATAAAGATCCATACAAAACCGTTCGATTATATTAAGGTCTTCCACCTTCTTTTCATAACCGCTTATACGTTTTCTAGTACTGGAATGTACTTAATAGAGAGGTATGCTCGCCTACAGAATCAGAAATCTAATTTTCAGTTCCTGTTGATCCTGTAGACAGGAGACTCTCATAAAGGTTGATATTTTTTAACAAAATAATATTTTTTAACAAAATGTACGAAGAATCACAAACTAACCACGTCAGTATCCTTACTGAGATATGTTGTGCTTTGTTAATAATTCTTCGATGCTTTTCATTGTATTCTTGCTGTGTTAAGATGGATAAAAATCAATTCCTTCAAATGTTAGATAGTTTTAAATTTTATAATTATGTATAAGGGAGTCGTTATTTCAGCTTCTTAGATAAGTACCTTTATAATTTTTGTCAGAAGTTCATCACAGCACGTATTTATTCATTACTCTGCAGTATATCAGTATGCAATATTTTGTCCCTCTTAACTGAAAATTTTATCAGTTCAACCACATTTTCTCCTTATGATAATATGTTAGTGAATGCTCATGGGAACTAAGCAGCATGTAGAATGAAGCAGAGTTAAACGATGCCATATTAACGCAAAGATAAGGAAATGTGTTATTAGGAATAAAGGTACGCTTACTCGAGTTCTACCCAGTCTCTAAAACTAACTTGTTAAAACTAACTTCCAAAACTTTATATACAACTATACATATACATTTCTAATATTTTGTCCAAACTTTTACCAAAGAAATTTCTTTGTGTCTTTTATTTATAAAATCATAATCTTCATGTTCCATGTGAATACCTTGTCAGTTGCTCAACTTGATAAATGCAAGATGCCCAACTGAACAGAATCACTCCGATATTTCAAAACACTGAGTATTTATCAACGGCTGAAATTAGTCGGTAATGCCAAAATTTATCATTCAGTTTGAAAGTAATTAATTTATCTTCTTTCTGAAGTGCAAGAAAAACAGAATCGTAACGAATCATGCAAATTTAGCGCTGTTCATGATATAGAAAAAAATGCATTACATCAAATTAGTTAACAGGTTAAAGTTAAGTAGTAGATAAAATATAAGTAGATAGAATAATCATGTTCTACTATATTTTTCAGACTGGATTTTGCGGAATCCCTCCTGCACTGGTGCAGAGGTATGCAGACGAACTTCAGCAAGACATTTTCGACGTCGCAGAAGCATTAGATCGTGAAAGAGTCCACGCACTACAAATGAGAGGAAGGCCAGCGGTATTGATTTTTTATCTTCACTTAATCATTTAATGGGAGATACATTTTCTCTCGCAAATTTAAGAAATGCAGATTTAATCCATTCCTAGTAAATATTCCGTCTTTAATAAAAAAAAATTGCAAGATTACCCAAAACATACTAGAGCATGTTTTATAGCCAGGCATATTTTTTATAAATTTTTCAGATCTTTCAATCTTTGAAAAGAATAAATTAAAATACTTTTCACACATCGCGCTATATGCAGGAACACAGAGTATAACTTGAAATTAGAATCTTTCGATTGTTTACTATGGAATAATAGTCTGTTCCAATGAGTTGTTCCCATTCACTTATTAACATTTTATACTTTAATAAATTCAATGAAAACATAACGCAACAACCTTGTAAAACACTGAATGTTAATCAGGTAGCTAAATGTTAGTCTGTCTTTAGAAACTACTCCCGAATGAGCTTTTACATAGTATAACGAACTGAATGATGATTATTTTTCAAATTGTTCGGGAATAAGGAATGTTAAAGTAGTCGTACTTATGTATAGCTATTGTTCCTCCAAAAGTAAATGCTATTACAAATGAAGAAACAGAAGTTACATATGATTTTTGAGATGAAAATTTATCGTTGATAATGTATTAACTTAACCATTACTGAGAAGCTAAGAGTGTATTCAAAGTTAAAAGAGGGAGAAAGACCTTCCATAAGAAAATCTTAAAATGGGCAAAGGACTTCCAGACTTAGAAAAGTCTTTACTATCATCCTTGTTAATTTTTACCGATGTAAGAATATGAACAAAAAGATACAGTCACAGAAAATTGTACAATTTTTCACCAACTGAAATATAAATATAGATGTTCAGTTAAAATCTTTTGAATAAACATTTGAGATTAGTTTATTTGAGTATGGTAAAGCCACAAGGTTTATCGGCCTAAGAGAAGAGATGCTTTCATGAAAAACTTTCTGAGAGAAACTGGGTGGTATTCCCGTTACACATGAGGAGGTCACGACCAACCATGCAACCAATGTGTTTGAATGGGATCGAACGCAAACCAGGTTGAACTACCAGCATTCAGCGGTCTGGACTACTCGACCACTGGAGTCCATACATCTGAAAACTGTAAAAGTTATGCACACTAAGATAGCAAATTCTCTATAATTCAAGAAGTAGCGAATCGTATTAAGAATATCGACACCTATCAATGACTGAATAGCTAAGACTGCTAAATTGTGGTTTCGAATTAGATTTCAACCCCAACAAATGGGCTCACTTATGGGTGTCTTTGTGATTTTAGACATATGTTACATAAATAGATAATAAATTCTCTTAATTTTTCTCTTCCTTTAGACGGATAGCCCTCGTGAAATTTATGTTATTCAATTAAATTTATAAGTAATAAAATAAATTTATAAAATTATTATTTATATAAAATAAAATTAATTTATAGGAAAATAAAGTGCAGGTCTTTTAGGCAATTCTCTGCTGCTTATGGAATAAAAATCAACTGAACGAAATGGCAATGGCAACTTATATTTGTACATTTTATTCACTTCGAAAGTTAAATGTAAAATGTCTCGGCGGAACCGTAGTTTATACCAAAATCAAACTTCTAAAATTTCAGTGCGTGTTGCTATATCTCTAAAAATGCTGTACATTCTGAGCTATCCACTGAAAATAAAAAGTTATTCAGATTCTGTACCTTTTGCAAATAATTTGTTTTAAAATTTCCTGATTTTATGGACATATAGACTCAAAAACAGAAATACATAACGATAGACCTCGTATTCGCAAATGATTCAGTATGCATGGATTACAACAGAAGGGACGGATGCATACATTCCGAAATGCACGTTATTAATAATGGCTCTCAATACAATGAAGTAGCAACTCGAACACATCCAATTCGGTCTTTTCACGCACCTGCGTGTGTAACTAGATAGAATGAATTGAAAAATTCATTCCGCGACCTATAATGTAGAAGGCAAACTCGAAGTTCTGTTGGAACTGACAAAATTAATAAAACTATCAAAACAGATATAACTGTTTGATAAATTAAGCCATAGCATTTGAAGAAGTCTTGACAATGAAAGGGACAAAACGTCCATATTTGCAGCACTCAAAGATGATAATTAATGCGGAGGAATTAGTTCAGCTGCATGCGAAAAGGTTCCTAGGCTTTTCACAAACAAAAGTTACATATACATATATATGTGTATATAAGGAATAATGCTTATGTTATTTTTTTTTCAAGCATTTCGAAACTTTAACTAAATTTATATGTATTTTCATAGAACAAGATCAGCTGTATTATTTGCAGAAAAAAACACAATATATATATATATGTATCTGAAAGGTCGCCCAAAAGGGTCTGTTAAGGTTTTTTACGCTCTCGCTGAGCTCGCAATCTACCAGACTGCTGTTACACTCACTATTAGAAACTTTTTTTTGTCTTTTTAGCTCTACTATTAAGCATCATTTTCTTCGCACTTATGCCATATATAATTCAACAGCAAAATTACAAAAATGTTTAAATATACTATACGTTTAGAGTTCTCGATGCAACGCTAAGTGTTGGCATAGAATCTTTTTTCCCAGTCTTTTTTCAGTTCATTATATCAATGTTCAGTTTGCTTACTAAAATGAGTTTACAAAACTTTTTTGTCTTTTTATTGTTAACGTTTTGTGTGTTTACTTTATTTATTAAATATCACGTACTTGGCGCTTACGCCACATAACATTCGGCTCAACAGCAAAATCACAAAAATATTTAAAAACAGCATATCTTTATAATATCCTATAGACAATTTCGCACGCTGGGTATAATGTTTCCCCCGTACTGTGTAGCCACTGCTCGCTTTGAAGTCGTTGAGTTTGTTAATCAAAATTCGTTAAAGTTTTACAAAATATGAAATAGATTACAAAACTAATTCGAAATTCAAAATTCGGGCTTCCAGGTGCCCATATCCGGGCGAGGACTACGTTATTCAAAATTTGATGTACGACAAACATGCATACATTCATGCAGATTCTTCGTTATTTAATTTCTTTAAATATAATACAGGGCGATAATATTTGGTGGCAACAATTTGAAAAGGGATATGCCGTTTATAGTAATTCAATGCAAAATGATGTTTCCAGACTAATATCTCATTCGGAACCGTCGTCTTTTTTGGGATAATAAATTTCTCATTGGTTTTTCAGTTATTTTCTTTTGGGCAAGAAATGTATTAAGCCTTCCTTCTACATTTAAGTACTAATTCTTCAACCATAAAATACTTGAGCTTTAAGAAGAGAAATTGATAAGCAAAAAATTTCATATTCAGCAACAAAAATAAATGACATAGCAGCAAAAACTCGGAAATGAATTTAATTAACTAATCTAAATACTTTATCTCATATATCCTGCATTCATTAACTGCATTTCTTTCCTCTAACCGTCCGTGTTCACTTTGTTTTTCTGTCAATCTGAATAAAAACAACGATTGTTTAAAATTTTATCATGTTTCTAAAATCTTCTTTGAAAATGAATTGGTTAAAGAAGCTATTGATGCAAGTGAAATTTCCTTTTTATGGCTTCAAATTACTGATAAGTTCCAGAGACTTGAAAGTTGTCAGTTTTTAATTGCTGAAAATTTGCTGAAGATTGAAGATGTTATGAAATTGTACACCGATGGTTTCGAAGAAGCAGAAATGTACAGGAATAAGCATGTAAAAATTTGTGGTAAAGTGGAAAAGCGATTGCAAGAAGCTTTTGCAGCTAAAAATGAGAAACAAAAATTTAAATTACCAAAAATTGAGCTTAAGAAATTTTCAGGTGATCCAAAAGAATACTTGTCTTTGTGGAACTTATTTCAGAAGATTCATGAGGATAGGTTTGTACCTCATGAAGATAAGCTGCAATGTTTGGTACAGTTTGTGGAGCCAAAATCGAAAGCTGAGTGTCTCATTCAGATTTTGCTGGCTACAGTGGAGAATTATCCGAAGACCATTGAACAGTTAAAGGAAAGGTTTGGAAGAGATGATTTACTTGTCCAAATTTACGTTCCTGACTTATTAAGCATGGTTATGAAAAACCCCATGACCTAAGACCGATTTAGCAGCTTTATATGGCGAATTGAAATCTAAATTGAGAGCTCTGAAGAGCTTAGGAAGAACGCAAGAAAAGCATAGTGATTTTCTAATACTATTAGTGGAACGTTGCCTTCCAGAGGAAGTGCTGCTTACCTGGGAAAGAAGGAGAAATTACGAGTCAAGTGATTCTAAGAGTTCCCGTACTTTAGAACAGCTGATGAATTTTCTTCGCCAAGAAATCCAAGGTGAAGAAATGGTGTCATTAGTAAGAAGCGTGTTTTCTCACTTTAATTTTAAAAGTAAAAGTTCTGTTTCTAGAAAACCAAAAGAAGGTGAACTCGCAATGGCCTCTGCCTTAATAAGCATTGATTATAATATAGGTAAGCGACATAATTATATTTTTTGTTGTGTGATAAGTTTTACCCTAGCGAAAAATATCTTAAAGCAAGAAAAATTACTTTAAGTGAGAAAAAGCAAGTATTGTTGAAAAAAGGTGTATGTTTTTTATGTCTTAAAAGGGCAGGTCATTTAGGCAAATTTTGTAATGTTAAAAATCAGTTTAAATGTTCCCAGTGTAATAATTTCCCTTCTGATGTTATGTGTCCTCACCAAGGAAAAGCAAATGTATGTAAAATAGAGAATTTCCTCTCTAATTGCCGTAAAAGGGAAACTGTTTACTTGCAAACACTTCGCGTAGTCGTTCAGGCTCGAGGCCAAGAGCGGAAAGCTCGCATTCTGTGAGATTCGGCTAGCCCAAGTAGTTATGTAAACGAAAGAACGATGACATTATTGAATGTCCCTTCACTTCAGAAAAAAACTGGGGCACACGCACTGTTTGAGAGTGCGAAACAAAACCGAAAGAACATAATATAGTTTCTTTTGAAGTCAGTGATTTAAAAAAGTCATATACTTGCAGTTTTGAATTTCTTTCAGAGAAAAATATATGCGGATTTATTACGAAAATTGTTGATTGTAGAATTTTGAAATATTGTAGAATTGTAGATTGTAGAATCTGAAATTGAAACGTAATAAAATAGATTTAACAGATTATTTTTGTAAGGAAGGCGAGATTGACCTTTTGATTGGGGCTGATGTTTTGGGAAAATTGCTTACTGAGAACCGCTGGATTCAGGTCTTACAGCCTTGAAAACTAAACTTGGGTGGACGGTAAATAGATTTATTCAGTTGTACTTGTTATATGTTTCAGATTCTCCCCAAGTCTCAACGGGGAAAGAGTGTTGGGAACTGAAATGAACTGAAGCTGGGACAACGACGTCAACTTCAATGTATAAGAATCAGATCGATCGATGTGGCTTTGTGCCGAGTTTTGAAACGAACATTTTGGATGTTGTGTCCGTGTATGTATTTGTGCTTCAATAAAGTGTCTGATTGAAAATTGAAATGACTATTGCCTTTCAGCACACTACAAAACACCCTGCTTCGTGTAGATGCGAACCTATGATTTAGTTATTGAATTCTCTTTCTAATTTTAAACCCATTTAAATATTCAAACAATTATTAAATTATATCCATCTTTATACACAGATCATTAAAATTATCTCCATCTTTATATGGATGGGCACTGGAAAAATAACTCAGGATTACTTACAAAACCCGGGACACATACAGAAGGTCATTCGCATTTTACGGGAACGACTTTCCATTAAAATTTTCTAGCTAACATTTTAAGATAAAGATTTGGAATATTCAATATAATCGTCTGCTATTGTTGTTTTGATTGGCAAGCAGAATAAAAGATTTATTTTGGAAATGGCTCCTAAAATTGATAGATGGCTCGATGGTTAAGAAAATGCACTCAGAAAAATATCCTCGTCAACAAATTGTGAAAGCATGTAAAAATCGAGGCTGTTACATTTTAAAGAAAGGTATTTTTAATATGATAAATCTTAACGCACTATCCGTTCAACCAGTCGAAATGAAATTTCAGCTATTGTTATTTGAAGTCATATGCGTTCGAGATTGTGATGATTTAAAACAATCGAGCTCTCCCAATTACGCTTACAACGAAAAAATTTCAAAATTTTCGAATGGCAACACCTACTTTTTTTCCCGCGCAAACTGATCAGTATATTGTAAAACCATAACTGGCACTGGAACTTTACACGTATGACGAAAATTGCCCGCGTAGAAAACATTTGCAAAGAAGAGTATTGTAAATGACCAATTACAACACAAGAGAAGAGAGAAAAAGAAACTTTTATTAGAATTACAAATTTTCAGCACGTACCACGTTTCAAGATAAGAGTCATCCCCTTTACCTTTGCAATTCTGTGGTCACCGTAATCCCCAACCTCACACCGATTTCTGATTCTGGAATTATCTGAAATCTAAGATATACACAACAAATCCAAAAGATTAGTCAACTTTGAAAGGTCCTATAAAATCTGAAGTTAAACAGATTCCTCCAGCGATGTTACATTCGATCTCTCGTATTCGTTATCGTGTGCGAAGGTAGCCACTTTGAAAACTATCTGCTGATAAATGGAAATATGTGGTTACAATCGATAAAGCATGGGTAATATTTAAAGTGACTGCAATAAAAGAAGATCAGTTTCCTATTGTTCAGCTGACGAGAATGACCCCATACAAAATAGCTTCGTCAATAAACAGAAAAGTTTCCAAAGGGATTCATGATAAGTGCAAGATTTTGTTGTAACGGTAAATCAAAACTTAAAAAAGTCTCAAGAAAGTTTGTAATTAATTCATTGTACTATCAGCAAAATATTTTAGATCCAATTTTTAAAGAAGAAATTCTAGCTTTATATGGAAAAGCCACCAGTAATGTTGAACTTCATATGGAATAGGAACAAAGCTTCTAGTTGTCAATTGCCGTTTATTTAGCAAAGAAAAAATCAGAAACAGGAATAAAATGTATCCTATTTAATGAAATACCTGTAAAATTACCTACCTCTTCTCCTGTGGACATTTGCGCTTTCAAGGAACGAATGGAGACTTGGGGAAACGGTATCCAAGAACACTGGACGAACTTTGGAAAATGATCCAAGAAGAGAGTGATAAAATTGATCTGACAATGCTAAGAAAAATTTTACTTTCATAGCAAAATTGAATTAGTACTAGAATCAAGGCTACCAGACTGAAACAAATCCAGCAACAAATACGCTCTTTAGGCATAAGAATTAATTATCAAAATCGTTTCCATAAAGTTAGAACGTCTTTCAGTACTTACGCAGGTCACTACACTAAACTTCAGAACTATTCCATACAGGTTGAAGCATCTGATCACCTATTTACATCTTAGTTTTTGACCTTAAAAATGAGCGAGCAATAAAAGTTACGTTCTTGTTTTAGATATAAATAAAGATTTTAAATATCAATATTGAAGCTTTCTGACTCTTAACGTTAAAAATTGTTAAAAGAATTCTTAATGACACAACATTAATGGCCTTAATTTAGCTCCACTAACATTTTACGATTTTTGCAATTTGAAAATAAAAAAAAAATTTCATTTAATACATTCAGATTTAATACATTAACAAATATTTTGCATGGAAACACTATTATAAGATATATTTAAAAAAAGGTTACACTGACTTACATGACAAAAGAAAACAAAGATAAACAGATTTTAGTACCATGAAGCTATACAATGACATATGATGATATGTGAAAATGATGACATGTTAAAATTCTATGCAAATAGGTCGAGATGTGTGCTTCCAGTAAATTCTGCGCATAGCATTTTAAATAAATTCCCTGCAACATGCGGCAGAACGTATCTGGCTAATCTCAAGAATACCGCCGCTAATTCTGAAAGGCAGCCCATCATCAGTGGGTGGCAGTATATCCCTGCAAAAAAAAAAAATCTATCAACGCTAAAGAATGCGGTAATCATATTACAAGCGCCTCTTGATTAATCATTCTATAAAATGGATATCATAGTATCATGAGGAAACGAGAAATTTTACTACTTTTCTGGAAATGTAAACATCCATTATGGCAATAGACATCTAATGGTGGTATTTGGTATTCGTTTTTAGCAATACGTCTAGACTCGCATCATCACCGAATGATCTGCGTCATCGAATGTCGCCATTATTTAAATGATGTGACGAAGAATGCTATTTACAGCTAAGTAACTAAGTGAAAACTTAACCAAAGAAAGGTAATGCAGAAATATTTCAGCTCAAACAAAATACAACATTTTATTAATGTCATTAGGGTCACTTCTTAATTTTCGAGAGTGTGGAATTAATTTTATACACAGATTTAAGATTGTGCAGATTCCGAAAGAGTCCTTCATAGTGCTGCTACATTATGTTTACCATAATTAAGTTTAAAATCGCGCTTTATTACATTTTTTTCCGTTAATAGATACATTTCTTAAATTGTTAAAAAAGCCTAACTCGATTTGATCCTAATATTTATAGCCACGCATGGGCAAACAATACAGTTGTTGTTATTACGTTTTATAATTCTGTTAATCTCGTTTCTAATGTTTCCAAACATGCTGAATATTGTTTTGAAGTCAGATCTAAAATAACGCATGCGTCGAAGAGATTTCATAGCTACACGTCATTTACCAATATTCACCTAATGACATGTCATTGATACAAGTTTAGATCCTTTATTTGCACATACAAACAAATGAGTAATCAATTTAATGAATCCGAAAAATCAAAAATAAATAAATAAATAAAATAAAAGAAGCTTATAGATTTGTTACAATATAGCTCTCTTTGCCACAAATCTGTAAACTTAATTCCATATTATAATGTTTCATTAACAATTAATTTAGTCCTACAGTATGCAGTTCCACGGTACCTGATAACCCTTAATGTTTATTCAAATGCATGATGATGTCATGATGTAATTGAAGATGCATAACATTATAAACAGAATTCCAGGAAAATGTTTTCCCTTCCCCTCTGTATTCTGTTTTCTTCAAATGCTAAATAGTAATAATAATAATAATAAAAGCTTTTGCATTTTTAACTTATTTATAAGACACATAACATAAATTATAAAGAAAGTACTGAAGAGTACATTGTTTCTTCTATATGCGTATAATTCAAATGCTAAAAAATTACTTTTGTACTTTGATTTGAATATATTGCACGTATTTTAAGAACTTGACTAAAATATACTTTTTAAGTAAAACAACATTTTAATTTTATTCACAGGTTCCAAATGACTTCCTGGCCGATTCTTGTTGTGAACCTGTTGTCGAAGCCAATTACAGCAGTCTCTCAAACTGGCTGATTTCACTAGGTCTACCAATTTATGAGAAATTGTTCCAAAGAAATGGCTGTACAGAACTATATCATATGGCCGGTTTAAGCGACAGTGACTTGCACCACTATGGGATAGAGAATGCGAAACATATCCGTCTCCTAAAAACTGCTATTGAAGCTCTTCATATACATATTGAGCACTGTCAATATATAGCATAATGTAACATTTTAATTCTTTTAAGGAACATAAAATTGCATACATTTAAAAAACATAATGAACAAATACTTTCAAATATGCTCAAATAATGAATGATCATCGCGAAAATGTATGAAAGTAATTCTAATATTAATGGAAATGAAAATTATTTTAAAAAAAAAGCTCTAAATTTTAAAATACGTCAAATGCCAATGTAATTATTTTAGCTTCACTAACTTTATCTAATTGTTTGACTGAATGAATGCCACAGACTTCATCAATGCTAATTATTCAGTTGAGAAATATTTCTGGCATATACATTAAAATAATTCATTTTAATGTTTTTTCACCTTTTTTAGTTTATAAATGAAAAAGAACTAGATTATGTTAGGAATACAATCATGGCAAAGCCCAAAAGGGCCATTTGTCTTGATATTTTGTATAGCACCTTTCTGTTACAAATTATACGTTAGCAGGTAATGATCCAGTAGATTTAATCTAAAAATCTGAAAAACTTCGTAAGATTACAGCTTTAATTTAATATCAAAGTAAAACCGAATTTAAAGAAGGTAAAAATACTGTGAAAATTCAAAAAAAAATCTTTTTTTTCGGGGGGGCAGGGAACAAATCAAAAGCATATCATTCTTAACGCAATATCATATTGCCGACATTTATATGTTGAAGACTGTTTTAAAAATTTCATTTAATGTTATTTTTATTCTTCCCAGTTAATGCTCCTTCACCACTTTCGGTAGCGATTAATTTCTAATTTTTACAGAGAACCTATTATCTGAACTTTAATTTTCCAAACTGCCCAACGCCTGTTTGAAGGGTAAATCGAAAATAAAGAAGCCTAGAAAAAAATTCCTATTTTTTTAGAACAGTGGATAAGTGCAAAAGTTTAATTAATCGGTTAAGTAAACACTTCATTTCTAAAGTTTAGGTGTAGCAATGAAAATTCGAAAAACCTGATCAAATGCTATTAATTCTAGATAATGCATCTACATATATACATATATACATGCAGGTCTTTTTTAAAATGAATTTATCTCATTTTGATTATTCTCTATGCCAACTAATATTGACATTTTTGGCGTAGCCAACAGCTTAAAACTGAAATTTTCAGCTTGATAGATATGATAAAAACATTCAGCTTTATATAAAACAGATTTCAACGAAACTGTTCAGCAGAAAACTCCGATTTATAATTTACTAAAAATTTCATTTAAATGACATTTGCATGGTAGCTACAGATATTTGGAATTCTGTAAAAATTTGATTTAAAGAAGTGCCAAAGTCAAATTTTAAGTAGAAAGAAAGCTATGATGAAACTTAGAATTACAATCCACTAATCTGGGACATAGAATGCGAAAACATATCAACTTTTTAAAGACTTTTACTGAAATTTTCATATGGTATATATTGAAAACACTATCAATATATCGCACAACGCATCATTTTAATTCTCTTATGGAACATATAACTGCATTCATTTAAAAACGATAATAAACGAATACTTTCGAATATTGTCAAATGATGAATGATTATCGAGGAAACTTATGAAGGTAATTCTAATGTTAATGAAAATAAAAAAAAACCTTTTAAAAAAAGTATGAAAAGGGATATGAAGAGAACTGGGAAAACCAAAATTATTATGGACATGAAATTAATGAGTTGTTAAACATTCAATGCAAATACTCCTAAATATAAAACCCGCGTATGAAAGATGTTCTTCAAAGCAATAAGCAGCTCAAGGTTTTTACACTAAAAATTAAAAAACCGAATTAACTACCGATTTTTATAAAAATTATTATACTTTTTAAAGAGGTGGAATAAGATAATTACTTCGACTGATTTTTGAAACTATTCAGCACCAGTCGAGGTTAGTATGCTACAAGGTTTGCTCTTCTAGATCAAAGTCAACCAGAATGGGGTTGTTAGCGTCCAAGACCAAGGATTATATTTTATAGAATACGAAGGATTATATATTAATGGTGAAGGATTATATATTACGGAACCATTTTCTTTCTCATCAAAAATCTTAAAAAGCGAGCAGAAAGGAGAAAATACATAATAGTTAAAAATAGAAGATCTAGAAACAGGCATATAGCTCGAAAAGGTTTTGATAGAAAAAATGAAAATGAGAATCATATTCTTTTGGTAACGTTTTTTATACCTTGCATTTTACAATATTTTCGGTATTTTATATTTTTATATACATTACAACACTAAAGCAAAAATCGGATGAATAAGCGATTAAAGATTAAAAGGCTCCTTGGCACAACGGACCGCGTATTAAGAATAACCTGAGCACTTCGGCACTACATAAAATAACTCCACATTAAATAAACAATAATTCAAAAGCCCAGGATCTGTATGATCAATAATTAGTTCCGTAACCGCCTTTTTGCTTGTCATACATCTCAAATCGAAATATTCTACATCGGAACATGGTTAATTTTATACCTACTGAATAATTTGTATCAGGAACAAACAAGTATTTGAATACCAAAGAGCATGGTAACTCTTTATGTTGTCATTACTTGGCAATGATTACAGACTTCAGTTAACTCAACTCTGAAACGCTAAATATGTTAACAAAGAGAAACTAACAGAAATTTCCTTCCATATGCACAAAATAGATTTTGTAAATACTACGCACAGGCCAAAAAATTCTATTTAGTGTTTTTTGAATTCAGAATAACTGATTTGTTATTCAGATGAGCCCAAGAGCTGGTGCAGCCACACCAGGCGGCAAAATTATTCAAATTTGGGGAAGGCACTGGGACTCAAAATTTAGGGGCAGCAAGATTTTTTTAATTTAGAGAGCCGCTTGGCACAGAATTTAGGACACGTAGACACAGCACCGGGGCGCAAGATGTCTATAGAAAGCCTTAAATGTATGTGGGAATTATTTATTTGGAACTCAGATAAGTCTTCAGCATGCGCCAGGAAAAGGCATAATTATAATAAATCACTAAACTAATATAATTCAAGCTTAACTTCGTCAGCATGTGATAGAAGCAAGGCAAAATTTAACAGAACAATATGCCTTTAGTCGTCAATAATGTATAGCTGACGCGAACTAAGTTTTATGATGACAGCCGCGAATTTGAAGGTTTTCGTAATTTTTTTTTCCCGCGAATTTGAAGGTCGCCAACAAAAAGCAAATTTTTCCAATTAATGAAATTTGTGAATAAATGTGGAGATTTGGTAATAAATAAAGATGATATAACAGAAGTTTTTCATTGCGAGATGGCAACGGCCAATCATCAATCAATTAACGGATGGCGAAATCTGTAATATAGTTTTAAATTCAGAAAATACTGCTATCAATAGTGAAGAAAGTGACAGACAGGTTGTTGTGAACGAAAAAATTTCGATTGACAATTTAGTGAGAATTCTCAACAATGCAATTTTAAGAGTTGAAAAATGAACAAGAAATGGTAGAATTAAAGAAAACGTATTAGCACAAAAAACGAAGCAATTTAAACAACTTACATTGAAAGAAATGTTTAATAAAGCAAACAAATAAATACTGAAATACTGAGTGGGTTTTTTTTTTTTTTTTTTTTTTTTTTTTTGTTGTTGTTGTTGTTTTTTGTTTTGTTTTTTTAAGGTCATAAATGCTTCATGATTGTATAAACCACTATTACATATTTTTAATTTTATAATTTCTACAGGTCACCTTATTAAATTTAAACTGATTATCTAATACGAGGAAAAATCCCAAATCGAATCGCCAGAGTCCCGACGAGTATAGATCTTGAACTTTGTACAGTAATACCTGTTTTTTCCACTTTCGGTTTCGATCTAGCTGCACCATACAATCTATGTTAAAAGCAGCAATGAGGAAAAAAACTTTGATTGAATTCTTTCAAATTTTTCTCTTATCCAAACAGCGTAGGCCCAGACAAAAGGGTGTTCTTAATGCATATTTTCTAATTTACGAACTACTTTTCTTACACTGCCTTAAAATGCAATGGAAAAGTTCCCAAAAAACTTTTATAAGCTTTTACTCAAAATAAATCTGAATCTATATGTAGATAGAGAGAAACTAAACTAAAATAAATCATATATACTACCAGACATTAATTCGACAGATGGCGCCATGTAGTATTGTTCTTCCATGTATTTTTCTCCTGAAATATTCTCAGTTGTTTCATCAGCACTAATGAAGTCTAAAAAAGTCTAGTTCAATGGTTGTTATTTATAAGATTATAAATCCAATTTTTAAATTGAAAACAGTTGTTTTAAATCTGTGTATTGTATAATCATCATATTTACTCCATTTTGTTTAATCCATATCTGAATAGTAACTTTTCAGGTGTTGTTCTATATAAAACAACGTTTACGGAAATTTTTTCACCTACAAAATTTTAACGAAAATGCATATTACATTTCTGATATCAATAATTTATAATATCCCCATTTAAAACTGCACGTGCTACAAATGAGACTCGGATTACTCTCTCTTCCCTTCCAACAGTCAATGACATTTACAACATCAAATAAACAAGCTTTGTACTTTAAAAAACATGTATATATGAGCACAGCTCCCTAAATTCCTATACATGAATCAAAATCTGTAAATAAGCATGATGAAAAATTTTTAAAGTAAATAAAAGCATCTTTGTGCCTTTGAACATTGGTTGGAGTTAAGACAGCAAAAAATATTTTTTAATCAATTATTTGCAAGATGAACCAAAGAAATAATCTGCACTTTATTATTGCAAGATGAACCAAAGAAATTATTTGCAAGATGAACCAAAGAAATGCAAATATGAGATAATCAAGCATGATATCTATGACATATTTTATGTTTTAATGGTAAATTATCAAAATCATGCACATCATCTAGTCCAATATTATATATCTTTCAAAGAAATTTATGTAAAGTGTTATCTATAGATATGTAAAAATAAAATCAATATTGCTAAATAAAGTATATACAAATGTATATGTATATTTTGTTTTATCAGCTGTTATAAATGTTTCATTCATTCATTTACAGAATTCAGGTATAATGAAGAATTCATTTACAGAATTCAGGTATAATGAAGAATTCATTTACAGAATTCAGGTATAATGAAGAATTCATTTACAGAATTCAGGTACATATTTCCATAGGAAAAGATATGGCATACCTTACCTCTTTGCACTTCAGTCTTAACAGAAAATGAAATTAAGGTGTCGATAGATTTAAACCATCTAGCAAATATTGTAGCTATTCCTAAAATAACATAAATGAAGCACATAATACTGAAAGGAATTAAATACGCACACAGCTGAAGAAAATTCACTATGTTAAGACCAACAATGAATTTTAGTTTTACAAAACAATGTATGCAATACTTTGAAATCTCAACATTTTAAAAACAAATTAATATCATTAATTATTATTCTCTTGATTTAGCTAGATTGTTTTTGCTACAAAACTCTTCTTAACCTCTTTTTAGGAATTCACAGAAACCATGCGATAAAAGATGTATTATTAAAGAAATCTGATAAGGTAACAAAGTAAATCAGTTAACTGACATATAAATTGTTTTGCAGCTTATTGACACTATGCCATACCAAAGCATAAATGGAGAATTGCCATTCTAACCGAGATAGATACCCTAAAAACAAATAATGATAATGTTAATAAAGTGCTGTTACATTAAATAGAATGTTTTATAGCAATGATTCTTGATTCATTTGAAAGTTGAAAGTTAACTATCATAATTTCCTTTTAAAAATAAATTAGCTAATTTGGCACCCCTTACAGTTTTCATCTGAGGCAAAAACTACCTGCCCCACTCCTTTTCCTGCTCTGATACTTACTTCAGTTCTGTTAAGTGAAAATAATAACAGGAAGACGTATCTAGAGAACACACTGGATGAAAAAGCACACATATTTATTTTGAGGACAAGGTGGTTCTACGAAACGGTTATTGCCAATGGGAAGGTGGATTATTGCAGAATACAACAGTTTTCAAATGAATAACATTAAGAACTGTCAGCTTTATTCTTAGCTATTTAACCAAACATTTAAAAGAATAGCATCGTTTTGACACCTCAGCTTGTAAGTTAAACTTAATGTCAACTAAATATAAATGGTTTAATGGTGAGTAATGCAGGGAGATAATCATTCTATCTTAAACGTAGATTCAAAGAACATCAAGTGAAAACACTAATAGCAAACATAACTAAATGTTCCTTTGCACTATGGCATGGTAGTTTAAAAATCAATGTATTATTTGTACCTGAGAATATAATAATAGTTTAAATATTTTCAAATCAAATAGTAAATTAGAATCTGTTGGGTTGGTATTATAATCAAAAACTAGAGTTAATATACTGCAGACCCCAACAGACAGATAGCGAATTATTGCTACATCTTAATCAACTCGCAAAATATGGAAGAAGGTTTAAATAGCCTTTTAATTTTAAAAGGTTATAAAGGCACAATTTGCGCTACAGACAAAATTTCCACCACTTGTAGATATTTTAAATTAACAAAATATTCAAATTTAAACATCACAGTAGTCTAAAATTAAATATTACAGAGAATAAGCTGGCTCATATATTTTACCAGCGTGTAAAGCATCAACTTGCAAGAATGCTAAAGTCGGAATGCAGTTTTTATATAGAGCAGCTGATAAATAATGACAACAAGACATGATTGCCAGAAGGTCTCTCAACTAAAGATTCAAAACCCTCATCATAAATACACACAAAACTTAATTTGCATTCTGTTGCGAAATACATAAATATTAAGTAAAGCCTTAAATCATAAAAACTTGGTAATTAATATATGCTACTTTACAAATCTAATAACCTGGCCCTTAACTTAATTTGTCTCACAAATGGCTAAGCAGCTAAAGACTGCTAGTAGTTTATCCTGGAAACCAACCCAATCAAACAAGCTGGCTGCACGGTTTTTATGATTTCCCCCCCCCATGTGCAACTTTAATACGAAGTGAAAGTGCTCCATGAAGGCATTTCTCCCCTTAGGCAGATAACCTCCATGTACTTTGCCATATTTAAATAACCAACCAACCTAATTTATTCAAGATTTCTAAACCAAGAAAGTGAAAAATTCACCGAAACCTAGTGCAGTTATCCAGTTGGGAGGAATATGATAGATACAGTGCCACTGGTTGAACTACTAATGCCACTCACATAATTTGTACCTTCTGACAGAGTTTACAGAAATATTATAAGTTCATGTGTTAGAATTTTCACTGATATAAAATTAGCAATATATTCACCGAGAAAGACAACCTTCTAAATTTTTTTAATTATTTTACAAGATGAATTTTTATAAATTCTAATATAAGAGAAAAATGTAGAATATAATAATAATGTGAAAATAAATGTAACAATAATCATTTATTATATTACTAATGATTAGAATTCAGGTCTTTACAAATCACAATTTAACCCTTAAAAATGTGTTTATTCCAAATCGTATGTTTGCATAAAGATATACTTTGCTTTGAAAAAAATCTGATGTGTACACCACATGTAAAGGAAAATCTGCCTGGCTTTGATTGTAACTTCAAATTCGTTTTTACATATTCCTCTAAGCATTTTTTCTTTTTCAGGCCAATCAACATCGTTTTCTGGAATGACTAATGGGGAAATTTTCGTTTTATTTTCCACGTTATTCTGTGTTATAGTCGTCTGCGTTTCATCCGTAAATTCCATAGCTTCGTTATTTCCGTTAAGAGTTTCAAATCTGTTATTTTGCGGAATATCTGGAGGTGGGATAGACTCTGAATTTTTTGCTGTTTTCCTTGTACGGAATATTAAATTATACGCATTTTTTCTTGCATTTCATTTACACTTATTGGGTTGGATTAAATCTAATTCTCGATAGCGCATAAACCACAATAAAATTAATTCACTCTTTAAAATTTACTATGTTTGTTTACCATAGCGATACTCTGGCGCTCGGTTCATTTAACAGCGTTATATTTTCATTCATATTATAACTATGTCTATGTCTATGTCGTAACACAATTAAAAGGCAATCGGCCTAGTGAGGCCATTACCAATATATTATAAGTAGGGTGTCTTTAATGACGAGTTGAATCCAGTAAGATGGAACTTACTTTTTGCACCTAGTGCCGAGTCTCTAGAAGAGAAGTAAACATGGCCCCACGATGTGAAGATCTGCAGCTTGAGGATTTCTGCCGCTCGGCTATGCTTCTCTTGAGAGAAGCTGCGAATTAA